CCCCCTATAACACTGTTGATTATTCCGTTTTATATGAATTCCATGTTGTACGAGTCACTTAGATTTTACAAATACGTGTGCCGGGCTGTGAACGGCTCATGTATTTGTAAAATCTAAGTGACTCGTACAACATGGAATTCATATAAAACGAAATAATCAACGGTGTTATAGGGGGGTCGACTTGTATAGTAAAACTTGTCTAAAACCATATATTATATAAAACATAAGAAATTACGGAAAAATTTACAATTAATTAGCTATATAAACGGCTCTTTAGAATATATCAATAATTAATGAAACCATGCTTAAACATATTTAATAACAGTCAATTAAAATAATATATAAAATATTCACTTAAATAAATTATGATCTATCAGAACTTTTATAAGAATGTTTTATGAAAGGATATTCATTATTAATTGCTGTTAATGAGGATATAAGGAATAAAATAAAGAGTAAAACACAATTAAAAAATAATTACAATTAAATATTTATAACGTTATTACCTTTATAATATTCAAAATAATTATTTTTTTTTTGTGATTTTAATGGCTTAATGCCATTTCTTCTGTTATTTTAATAGTTAATGAATTTATAACGTTATTAAAAATTATATATAAATATTTTAAATAAATAAATAACGTTTTATAAATTAACTATAAAAATATTTAACGTATTTTTTCATGTACTTTTACAGTAAATAAAAAAAGTATAAAGATTATTCAGAGCACTTCCAATGACCTTATTGTGTCACCTATACAGTTAGTTGTTTTTGTTCGCCAACTGAACCGAAATAAAATATAGAAAATAAAATAAAAAAATATATAGTAAAAGGAGAGGAAGATATAAAAAAAACCTTAATGCTTCCTGCCTAACAATATGAATCTCGTTAGTGTGGTAGTTTTACACCCTCAATCATACGATAGCATTAACGTGATTAGTCTGCTCGTCCTGTAATAGTTTATGATTGATGTTAATCGCTACACATTCCTAGTTAGCCCATTAGGTAATAGGATATTAAGGATGTCAAATGGCTTATTAAACATACAGATGTTCAGAATCGAAAGGTTTCGATCTTTAACTCCCATTCCTGTCCATTCATCTCATCATGGATCGAAACTTTTGATCTTTGAATTGTTATCGTGAAGATTCTAATCTTTTCTTTGTAGTTTTTATTTATTTAAAAGTCACTTGAAGTAGGTCCACATACGTATATACATTAAAATATATGCATATGTAATATGTTGGGCCATCCGATATCTTTTCATAATGTTCTTATTTTATAAATATCTACTTTAATTGTATAAAGGGTGGTCCAAAAATATAAGCAGTTTTAAAGTAATTAAAATAACAAAATATTATTATTTTTTCTAATAAAACAGATGTAACCTTGCAGGTGGATTGAAGCTTTGGAAAATTAAATCCAGATGTCATTTTACATATAATTATATGTATTTGTAATACTAACATAGGTTTTATGTTTAAAAATGAATATGTGAAAAACATAATTTATTTATTTGAAAATTATTATATTAAGTTTAAAAACTTTTCATTAAAGGTAATTGAATATTGCCTGAAGTTCCACATTTTTTTTTATAGCTAAATTTGTCATTTTACATTTGATTTTTTGATGTAATCTTATTAGTAAACAATAATATAACTAGAAAATGTTCATATTAATACTGTACTATAAAATGCTGTAAAATATAATATGAAGTTTATTAAGAATATATTTTATTATTATTATTGTTAAACAACCTCATTAGTTTTGGATGATGTGTCTGGTAGAGTACACGAACAAAAACGTTTCTTTCCTCGCCCTCCATTCAACAAATTTTTTTAAAGTCCATTCTTCCGTATTAGAATAAGCCCCGTATCAACTTCCTGCACGGTTTTCATAGCAAATTACACCCCTACAGACGTTAAACAATACCCTATTTTGTAATAAGCATCATCGTATCATCTCGATATATCCGGATATGTATATCATTAAATACCTATATTTAATTTGTATTATGTATTTTTATATTGTGACGTTTTAAATATAATTATTTCGGCTCTTTTGATGAGGGGTTTAATAATAATTAATTCAGTACCACATTTGACATAGTTTTTAAATATAATAGTAGGTCCTATTACTTGGAAGTGTCATCTTACTTGTAGTGCATGAATGATATAAGGATTAATAACTAAAATTAAATTGGACTTAAATGTGTTAGGCTACTCCGTATAATTTAGAAAGTTAAACAACGTTAATTTATATATATATATGAGGTGATTCAAAAGTCTGCATACATAGGCAAAAGGTTCACGATATTTTGCAATCATTTAAAGTCAAATAACACATTACAAGTCATGTTATGTGACTTACAAGGTGAAGGCCTATGTGGGTGTCATTTAATTGAATACATATTTAAATGCTTTTCTCCCACACATGGAGAACATATGTTAACACGTGCACACACATACCACAGGTACACCCTTCCGATAATCTATATTTTGTATAAAGACTTTTGTATCACCCAGTATATATATATGTATATGCAATTATAATATTTACTAAGAAAAAAACTTATATTTTTAATATATATATCAGAAACATTTTTATAAGTTTAAAGGATATATTATACGCCTGAAAAGATATAGAAATTATTATATCTTCTGGTGCATAGAATATATCTTTCAAATTTATTAAAAAAAAATTATACTAAAAATGCATAAATTTACTATATAAGTTATGTATTGAGTCTTATAGAACATACAATAATTTTATAGAAACCATTAATATTAAGACAGAATAATAATATTAAGAAAGATTCCTTACGGAAGATTTAATTTATGCAATGCACTCATAGAGACACGCGAAAACAAATAAATAAAATGAACAACTTTTACCATAATTAACCTAAAACCTAGAAATTTTCTTAAATTAAACTCCACCCGTGTTGACACTTAAACAGAATTTCTAAAGTTCCACCTTAAACCACCGAAAGAACATTAAAAAAAAATCGATTTTCACTATCAAAAACACACGTAGAGTGCTCTAGAATTAGGAAACACTTCTAAAAACTACAACTGTTTAAGGGTACTAAAAATGAATTAAAAGAAAAGTTATATACAAATTAACTGTAGTGAAAATAGAAAAAAATAGGTGTGGATAAGTTCCTGCTTGACCTCTAGGTGAAAGCATCACGCAGAAAAGCGGAATAAAGACATGTCACGTTCATGGGAGTCACGTCGTCACGCTCTGAAGACTAGAGCTGGTCACACATAACCGAATATACACACCTACTCAGTTCATGACACTAAAACGTGACGAGATAGGAATGACAAATAAGATGGTGTACGGAAGTACGATATCACGATAGATCCGTTCTTCCGTGTGGATTCTTTCACTCGATCATCTTGACGAAATCGTGAATATTTAATAAATTACCATAATTTCTACATAAATTTTATCGATAAAAAATCATTGAATGAAATTAAATTTTTGTAAAATTAAATATAAAACTTTTAAATTCTCGTTTAATATTTCGTAAAGATAAACTACTTTTTCGTTTCATTCATAAACCTGAAATAAGTATTTTAAAATTGCTTCGGTGGCATTTATTGCTTTTTATTGTTAGAAAATATTCGATTTTCTTTTAAAAATAAAAATTTATATCGATTTTATTATTTTAGAACAGGTTTTGAAGAATTTTTACTTGATATTTACTCCATGTTAAGAAGGGGGGAACCAATTCGAGTAATGCTTCTTTGGACTATAATAATGAATTATTTATCCAAAAAAAAAATTAGTTTTCGAACGGAAATTAATTGTTATACAGTATCTTTAATCTATAATAAAACAACCTTTTTGGGAAGGGGAACTCCCAATGAACGTCTATCTTATCAGATTTTAATTGTTTAATTTTAAATATAGAACGTAAGAATATATATATATGTATAAAAAAGTATATCCTTGTGCCTTATAATATATCGAAATGTTTAATTTGAGCGAAAGGGAAGTACTGCTATTGTATGACAAGGTCTCAACACTTCACTGATGGTGTAGGAAAAAACTGCATGACGTTTTTTTTTCATCATTATGTCCGGCAACATTTGTTAAATGTACCTATAATATCAATGTGAATTTGAAAGAGCTTTAAATCTGTATATACACCACTTTAAAAATATGTATTATACTGTATGTTAAATACACAAAAGTTGATTTATATTTATACCAAGGATACATTAAATAGACTTATTCAAACACAATGCAGTTTTTAATGCTTAAATACACAATAACTTTACTATAATACCCTATAAAAGTAGGGACTTTTATGTTTAACAAATCTAATTATAAAGGGTGGTCCAGAAGTTAGTTTACCGTGTGTTTTTTTTGGTTACTCCAAATACACTTATTAATATGAATCGTAAACTACGTTTGAACGTAACTGACTACAAAAGACAGAAATTTAAATGGTTAACTGACTTTTAAGCATTATAATATTTTATATAAAATAATTTATATAATAAAGTATTCTATACATTTTTATTTATAAAATTGTTAAAATTTTTCGAGTTATTTATAGACTGAGAGTCGTTTCTTTTATTTTTAATTTAAGGGTAATACCTGCCAATTTTTTTATTTTTTAAATTTTACAAAACATAGTATCTAATAATGTGAATATGTAATAATAATGTGAGCCATTCACTTCGAAATTGTATTTGTCTGTGCAATTATTTTCCAAATTTCCTTAATAATCTTTAGTCATATCTTACCTCTTTCATACCTCCTCAGCACAAAAGGATGTTGTGGGTTCAATCATCCTCAGAAATCCCCCCTCTTCGTCTTAGGATAAGTTTCGTTGGTATTCTTGTTTTTTAACAAAATAATTGTTTCCTATTTTCATCACATCTATTCTCAATCAACCAAGTATGAAAGCTATTCTAATATTTTTAGATTTAATACTTTTTATACTGTCGATGAAGAAATTTGTATACGGTTAACTGAATAGATATTTACTGATAAAAATAAGTTTAACAATTAACTTACATTAAATTATATATAACTTTATATTGTTTTAAGATGTATTGAAATTCTTTACTCTTGTGCAATGTCTAGATATTAAAACAATTATTCTTATTTACTGTACCAGAAAGATCTGGAACGACCTTTCTTGCTTACATTTCTGGTTCTATGAGATATAGAAATTTGAAACTTTGAGAGTAATGACAAAGTCTAAAAGTTGTCTTTATGTTATTTTCTTATTTAATTTTTGACATTTAAAAGCAAAATGCTTCTAACTTTAAAATTTCAAAAGACAACCTTGTGTAACTATTGACAGGTTTACCCTATTTCAAATTTGAATTCAGCATTAAAGATAGTTTAAAACGACGTGTCATAAGACATGTGTTATCATTTTAAATTTTAAAGTTACAATTGTCTTTACAGTTAAAGTTCAAAGGTCAAATCATTGACATATCACGAAAGACTGTAGTTTTTAGATCTATGGCTATTCCCAGTTTCAAATTTCTACAACTATCCTTTCCAGGACCAGAGATATATAAGCTTGAAATAACATTCTTGANTAGTGATTTTTATAGACAAAAATATTTGTTATGTATAAAAAAAGAACAAGGTCAGAAAAATGTCTTACCTGTTTCAATCCCGGAATTATCATGGCCAGGAGATAAACATCGACCTCTTTTCATCAGATACAAACGTAAGGAGCAATAGGCAACAATATGAGCTAATGGAAGCACCAAAAATATATATTGAGATGTGTAATAACTGATAACAGGTGAGCTCAGAGCTTGCATACATATCATAAAACCCACTCGATAACCTCTAGTAGCATTTACTGTATTAGGTACCACTAATAAATCGTCGAGGAATCGATAATTGCTTCCACGTTCAGGTTCATCTCTAACTAAATTAATAACATCGAAAACAAGTTGAGGACCTAACCAAGCTACGCACAAGATTAAACTAGAAGCAAAAGCACTAGTAACGGATTTACTGCGAATTCGAACGAAAAACTTATAAGTTATCCTTATAGCTAAAAGAGCGAGAAGAACGGATGATGTTTCCATGGTAACGAATTGCTGTAAGACGCAGTGACTTCTAGCAGTTAACAGTAGCCATTGTCCGTTCGCTAGTCCGTAAGTCAGGTAAGGTGTCCAACTACTTAAATATAGCAAACAACTTAAAAGAACAGCACCGGTGGTTAGAGAATGTTAATATGATTTTTTAAAATTTAAATTATTATTAAATTTTCAAGGTTTAGTAACAAGGTCGAAGTCGATTTAATGCTATTGTAACTTTATATTTATTACACATTGATTTAAATCGTGATTTTTTGTATATTTTAAATATTAAATTAATTTAAGGATAAGCTATTTTATTAAATTTAATTACATCCTTTGTATTATCAGGGTGGTCCAAAAGTCTGTTTACTGTTATTTTAACGTATTCTAGTTATACTTATGGATATGAATCGTAATTATTTCGTTATGATTCATATTAACAAAGTTTTACAATTATTTTGTAAATCAGTATAAGTGTCCGTATGCGTACAAAAGATTAAAATATAATATTTTATTGCATTAAATAATAAAAGCAGATTAGATTTTAATTAATTATTGTTTAAAAATAATTCAAGGTATTTATAATTTTACGAGATAACAATTTTTCTCTATTAAATTTAGTGAAAATATTCAATCTTATACATTTAGAAAATGAAATTTTACCTTTATTATAATTAGTTTTAGCTAAATTTAGAAAAATATTATAGTCTAAACGACAACTTTTCGCAAAATCTAATAAATTCTAAGTTATTATATTTTATATTTTAATTCTTAATTAAAGATATTTTACGTAGAAGAGACAATTTATAAATGACATTTGTAGTGATTTTTATAGACAAAAATATTTGTTATGTATAAAAAAAGAACAAGGTCAGAAAAATGTCTTACCTGTTTCAATCCCGGAATTATCATGGCCAGGAGATAAACATCGACCTCTTTTCATCAGATACAAACGTAAGGAGCAATAGGCAACAATATGAGCTAATGGAAGCACCAAAAATATATATTGAGATGTGTAATAACTGATAACAGGTGAGCTCAGAGCTTGCATACATATCATAAAACCCACTCGATAACCTCTAGTAGCATTTACTGTATTAGGTACCACTAATAAATCGTCGAGGAATCGATAATTGCTTCCACGTTCAGGTTCATCTCTAACTAAATTAATAACATCGAAAACAAGTTGAGGACCTAACCAAGCTACGCACAAGATTAAACTAGAAGCAAAAGCACTAGTAACGGATTTACTGCGAATTCGAACGAAAAACTTATAAGTTATCCTTATAGCTAAAAGAGCGAGAAGAACGGATGATGTTTCCATGGTAACGAATTGCTGTAAGACGCAGTGACTTCTAGCAGTTAACAGTAGCCATTGTCCGTTCGCTAGTCCGTAAGTCAGGTAAGGTGTCCAACTACTTAAATATAGCAAACAACTTAAAAGAACAGCACCGGTGGTTAGAGAATGAACACACGTCTTGGATTGCCACGCGAGTATTAGTAGCGCACGTATGTTGAGGATGTAAACACCGGCTACTAAAGCCACTCTTAGTAAACTGGAGATCAAGATCAAAACTTCCATCTTCGATTCCCATTAGTGTCAGACTGGTTATGCAGCAAGCGTTCAAGTGCAACACTACTGGTGTATGACTATCGACTGCGTGCACAGGTGCCTCCCTCTGTCGCTCGACATAGATCATCCTAGAAGTTACAGATGAGGAAGAAGTCATCGGAAACCAGTCTTTAAGAGGTCAGAGGGTGAGGTTGTGTCACCGACCGACCTACTTTACAAATAGTAATCTAGATGTACTTCCCCTATTTCAAGACGATTTTTTTTTTATAATTCTCATTCATTTGTGGTTCTACCTGTTGTTTATCGGACGAGTAAGTATACTTCACTAGGTTATTTGAGTTTTGCGTGGGTTTAAAGGTCGTCACACATTTAAATTTTCACGCAGATATTCTCTAAACAATAAGGTTTATAACGATATAATTAAAATTTTAAAAAAAGTTATTATTGTTTAGATGTGAATTTGGGTCAAAAAATGTTTTTTACTTCCATTGTTTGTATTAATTTTGTAAATTATTTTCCGAAGAATCTGCGGGAAACTAACAAGAAAAAGTGAATGGACTGTTGAAGAGATGCGGCCTGATTAATATTCTGTATATAATTATTATATACAAGATTCGTGACTAAAAATAGAAGCATTTCTCAAGCTTCAATGACTCAAATGCACTTTTAATTAATTACACTTTTGTTTTATATATATATAAAGATTATAAATTTCGTTTAATTAATCAACTTAGCATAACCAGATACTGTAAATACAATTTTAAAATAGTTTATTTTCTTACTTTACATTAAAAAAGTAAAAAGTATTATATTTTAAGCTTGAAATTAAAAATTTTTATAAAACATTTTTATTGATTTAAATATATGTATACATAAAATGCAATTAAACGTTCAATAAATCCATATTATCAGGGATGGATTTACACATAAGCTAAACAAAGGCCTCACGTTTATAAATTTATTATCATTTGTTTAAGGAGGAAGCACCTTTTAAGCTTATATGTTACCGCTAAGAGCTACAACCAGTTCAAGTCTTGTCCTGAATAAAAAAATATACACATTTATTTATAAATATCATCAAATACAGTGTTCTAAATGTAAATTAACAATAAGGTCAGCGGGCTCATACTTATTTATTAATAATCAGTAGTAAATTAACCGTTTGAAAGTCAATCAAAATCAAAAATTACACCAAATCATATTCAATAAATCATTTTATCCGAAAGACGACTTCGTTAACTGAGTTATGGGCCACCCAGTTTTTCTAATTTTTTATAAATAACGACTTAATTATATATACACATTAAAATATTTACTTTTTAGTAATTAGATTCCCGTTAATTTAATTGGCTTTCCATGTTTATTAATTCGTATACCTTGTTAAAGAAGGTTACTGAAAAAATCGACCAGAACGTGTGAATCATTGTTAACCTTCGGAAAAAGATATACAATTAACACACGCTAAGATAATTTGTTATGTTTTCAAGCTTCATTAAATATTTAGTACAGCATTTTTGTTTGAAATCCTGTATTTGTTAGTAGTTATAAACTTTCTATTATTTAAAAAATATACAAAATAATTATTCTTTTACACATAAATACAAATAGTTACAGCTTTTCTGTTTTACTTTATGAATAATTAAATTGTTATTTATAGAATAACAAAGATTTTTTTCATGTAATAACTTATAAAGCATGTATAAAATTTTTTTCTTAAAAATTTACTGTAAAAATCAAGTATTTTATATATATTTTTCATAATAATAATGCTTATATGAGTTAAAAACAAGCCATTTTGTTGATAATCTTTCCTGTTTTTTCCTTTAAATTCATTAGTAATGATGTTTAAACGTAGCCATGACATAGCTTAATAACCTTCACTCATCGACAAATTAATATTCTTATTATTTTTTTAAATATAAATTAATAAAATAAATTTGTTTTAAGCAATTTTTTAAAATATATAAAGCCCAAATGAGTTTTAAAAATTTATTTACAATAAAAAATAGTTCAATAGGGAGCAAAGAAACGTGACTTTAGGAGAAAAATGTATGCTGTAAAAGCTTACTACGAGTGTGAATTTAGTAAAATGCTTTATATTTTGATAAAAACAGCTGGAAAAAATGGCAAATTTAATAAGTATTCACAAAAAAACGGTTAGAAATATTTAAAATAATATAAAAATCGTAAAAACATATAATGACTTTCAGACAGATGATTATAGTTTATGTCATATCCAAGAATAATAAAACGTGGTAAATGTAAAGGGATAGTTAATGTTCAGTACTTCCATTTGTTAAATACTAGAACTTTGTCTAGTATATGTTTTCCTTGAAATACTGTTGATGTGAAGATGTTAGATAGTCTCCTTTCAAATTATTTCTCACGTCCTACTTCTTCTAATTCCTAAACAAGAGATGCCTGTCAAGGATATCGACTTTATTCTTTAAAAGATGATGTTTAAAATACTGCATAACGTGTTTGTAACCTCCAAGATAGGTTGAAGAATGTTAGTGATGCATAACCAGTAATATAATTTTTTATAATTACGAATATAAAAAAAATAAATAAATAAATTTAGAATAATTATCGAAAGCTTATGATAATTTAACTTATTTAAATTAATAAATTCTTTTTAATATTTCAGAAGTGTGTTAATATAGATTCTAATTTAGTTTCCTTAGTTAAGTTTCTCAACTGGTGGTTCGCGATTCCCAAACGGTATTTATGGCTATCGTCACGATCCGACTAAACAGGTCAACAACTAAAGAAAAGGTTGAGAAGTTCTTTCTTAGATAATTTTCTCATTGTTATTATACTGTAATTTCATAAAAAATTAATTTTGTTTTCATTTTTTAAGATGAATTCTCTCATAGATTGTGAGAATCAGAAAGTGGTACTTCCTTAATTTGCGTGTTATTCTAGTATATAATTTAGACTAATCTATAATTAATTATAGATTTTTAATTAATTTGTGCAGATAAATTCTAAACAATATTGCTCTTAGAAGGATTCTTTACACGACATTCGTGTTGCACTAAAGACAACGTGGTACAATAAAAAGGGAATAAGTTATTCATTAAGTGAAACGACAATGGCACGACATCGCCCGCGGACACATTCTAGTCAATAGAACAAAACAAAAAAGGAAAATTAATGTTTATTCATTTAAATATTTGAAGCCATTTTACCTTTATCAATACAACAGTTCAATCATGTTTGTTTGTTCAATGCTTTAAACTATTTAAATTCAACAAAATTTGATTTTCTTACTGAAAATCTGTCACGTTAAAAGTATTAATTAATTAATTTACACGCTTGTCAAAAGGATTTAAATGTATATTCTACAAAAAGTTTGCAACTTCACACTCGGTTTTACATGCCAAGAAATTAAATAAGAAGCATACGAAAACTTAAAAATTCTTTTAAATACGGTCAAATTTCTGAAAAACGGCCAACAGAAACAGAAAAATGCACGTTTTGGGGGGTTATTTCGTACCCATTTCAAAACGAAATGCTCCTGAAAAAAATGACCCATGTTTAGAGATTTAACTATATTAAAAAATAATAAGAAGAAAAATACATTATTTAAACATAAAATTAAATAAATACATGGATTGTAAGCTAATTTTACTTTAAAATTTATAGTAAAATTATTAAAAAAATCTTTGATATTGCTCTTATTGACAGAGTTAATTCCCTCATTAATTATACGTATGTGCATAATTTATATAACTTATTTATATATATATTTCAGAAACTGGAATGTAACGAAATTTTCTGACTTTCGTTAATATTTTTTCCACGTCCCAGTCTACATTTATCAAATTTAGAATTACATCCCACTTCCTACATGTGTACTTTAGTGAATAAAAATGAGAATATATTATAATTAAACGAGGAGAAATATGAGTTCAGAAATTCGAGAAATTCATTTATTATTATTAGTACTAATTAAATTAAATACTACTACAAACAGCGGCCATTTTTATGTTCCTGTCAGTGGTCGTTGTTCAGGGGTTTGGCTGTATATTTATGAGCAAAATAAATTTCTTTCCGAACCGATCACCTTACTAGTCATTAAAATACTAGCGAAAACTATTTATTTAATTAATTTTCAAAGTGAAGAAATTCAATTAAAATTTTAATTAGATTTTTTAACACTTACTCTATTTTCATTCAGAATTTTCATTAAATTGTTTCTTACGCCATTGGATAAAATGCAATCTGATTAAATAAATGCATGATGCAGTCAGTACATAAAAAAGAGAACAAATTTACAATTTTTTAAATTATTTTATAATATAAAATTTTTTTACTATAAAATAATTTTATACTATAATAAGTATACAAGACTTAGACGAATGAATTTACATGTACTGTAAAGAACGGGCCGTGTTTAATTAATATATACTGTCTCAGTTGCAGGTTTGTTTTACGTTATTTTTTTAATTAAATTACATTTAAAGAAATGTTCTGTGAGGTACCACTGGTAGTCCACGGAGCATATTGTTTAATCAGTCGTTGAGGCACAAACCTTGTACTGGAAGCACCAGGGGAAATTTTTAGCGAGTCACACAAATGGTATCTCATGGCGGTTAATGTTTTAAACAATTTTCTAATGTGCGAAATAGTTTTAGATAACATTTTAAGGAGATGGATCACGTTTCAATTCATTTCAAGGCTCGTCATTAAAAGTTTAGTGACGACTTTCCGGTGCTCCTAAACGACAATGAATCCTAACTAGATAAATTGCAACAAAGGTATTTGTTAGGCTCTATATGTAAATATAGAATAAATTATAAAGAAATTTCCTATGTTGCAATTTATCTAGTTAGGATTCATTGTCGTTTAGAAGCACCGGAAACAGTGTTTGCGTACATTTCTTTCATTCAAAGTCAATACTTATATATTGCCAATATACACTAGTATAGTAGTAATTAATAAATATAATACAAAAAACTTGTATACTAGAAAAAGCATCCAAGTATTTTTTCTCTCTTTCCATCTTGTGGATACTAAAAGGATCTTTTATCTACATCCATCGCTGTTTCGGCTCGCTC